TAATTATAAACGATGTGTTGGATGTGCAGCTGGGATAAGTAATAAGGGAGCTCGGAGTGATTTTAGGTGCAGTAATATTACTAATAGGTTAGCATTCGCTCGGGGCTAATCCAGAGGCTCACTGTTAGCATTGTGGGGCCTAAGAGGATAACAGAGTATGTTTTTTAATTTTTAATTTTTTCACAACAGTTGTATTTGGACGACATGAATACCTATAGTGATAATTCAAAGTAATACAATTATTTTTACAGTGAAAAAGGTCAAATGGAACCGATGGTTCCCAAATTACCCAGAGGTGAGTCCGCCTGGACTTTATTTTTCTAAACCTCTCTAAAAAGGTCAAATTTCACTTGTTTTGCATCAATCTTGATACAGGGTACTTATTATATGTTATAGTTTGGATTCCTAAAGCTTTTAGTCTACTATCCCATCATTCAAGGGTGGTTTTCACTATAAGTAATGTTTTTTCTTTTGGCGGACATTATAATTTACATGTTTTTACTATGTTCCGTCTGAATTTACTTTAAAATAAAAACATCTATATTGATTCTGACACTTCTACATCCAACTCACAGATGTAACCTTGCTTTGAGAGAAAAGATTATTAATGTACCCCTTTTAGAACTGAAGATATAGTCTTTGCTGTGTTCGTGGCATTTTGGAGCCTGAAACCTGAAAAACAGGCTCAGGGCTTAAGAGGTTGATGGTAACTAAGAAGATTTTTTTCTTTAAATTGAAGTTAAATGCATCTGATGCACTTTGAGGGCAACATTGGGATACATCTCTCAACACTCATATGAAACAGAACTAATCAAAAAACATTAGAATATGCTCACAACCAATAACAAATATTTAATAAACTCCTCTCTCCTATCTTACCTAGTCTGCATTCTTTCTTGTTATTTATGCATATTTTACTAATCACTCCCCTTCAAACTGTGTTTTGAATCTTTTACTGACCTATAGTACACATTGGAATGATTTCTTAACTTATTTTGTACAACTATATTAAATAGATGCAAATATTTGTTTACATAGATGATCAAATCGTTTGAGACCCACTGAGATAACTTAGACTAAAGTTTACAATCTAATCACTCAGCGAGTCCTTTACCTCACCTAAACTGACGTTATCTCAGCCTTTCAGTCTGACAGGAGAGGACTCTCCCTCTCCTTATTGTTAAAACAGCTTCTAATCTCCGTTAGCTCTGAGCTAGCAACAGATGCTAACAACAACCCCGTAACTGGTGCTGTGTTTATATCTAGTTCCTGTTGCTTCTAAAACACCTGACTTTCCCTACGGGGATATATTAAGGTTTATCTTATCTTAATGCGTTCCACAGGCTGGAATCTTGTGTAGCAATTAATTAACGGTGTCTTTTCATATGTCCCTTAACAGGAGGAGTTTGTTTGTGAACCACCAATGATTACTCGTCACACCTCTAAGATGTTTGTGATGGAGGGTCAGGAGGTCAGCCTACGCTGTAAGTCCATCGGCGATCCTGAGCCTTCAACACACTGGGTCAGTCCTGATGGAAAGCTTATAGGCAACACGTCCAGAACCATCTGCTATGAGAATGGCTCGCTGGACATCCTCAAAGCCTCAGTGAAGGTAGATGCATGCTATAATTCTCATGGAATTAGTATATGCTGATATATTCTAAACTGTTGGCCTATTTTCTATGCATTGCTGTTTAATTGAAAGATACCAAAATATGTTGCAGCTCATAATCATTTACTGTGTACTGTTTGGTGTGTAAAGACTAGTCAGCTTATTATATTCATTTTATGAAGAACATTTGAAAAAAAATAATGTTGCCTTGAATGCTGTTGAGAGTTTAGAAAAACATTGTTTTGTGAGTATACGCATGTTTCCAAATCAATAAGAAATTATTAACTTTGTAATTGTTTTTGACAGTTATTAATGCTTAATGAAATTTAAGAACTAAGATACATAATAGCTTGAAATAGGAGACATGGAATGTATTTACCATTTGGAAGGGGAGTAGCTCTGTATGTAAGGATTTGGCTTGGTTCAAGAGGGTTGCCTGTTCAAGTACAGGTAGAATGTTACCTGAGAGGCTTCTCAATACTCTAATTTCCCCTCCTCGACTTCTCGGTCCTCCGGTAGTGACCCGGAAATGGATTTCAGCGCGCCATGTTGAAGGACATCTAATTTCTCTAAATGCACATCGAGGACCGAGCATCGAGCATCGAGGAGGCTCTCTGGAGGAGCTATAACCGAGGAGAGAGGAGAGAGGAGTCTCTCTGGAGGAGCTCTAACCGAGGATAAACTGATAGTTCCTCCACGGCTCCTCCGCGGATGCATTTCCGGGAACGGTGGAGGCGTGACGCACGGCCGGACTTATCGCAGCCAATGACAGCTCTGCATGCATCCCCTTGATATTATTTTAGTAACTGCTTTCATCGCGACGCGATGTTTACAGTGAGAACAGCTGTGAGGTCCGTGCAGAAAGCAGAGCAGTGTGTATAATATATATCACTCAGTATAACAGGCCTACATTACTCTCTGTATTTGTATGCTGTAGTTTAGTAGATATCTACAAACAAAGAGTGGATATTTTTATGTACCACAGTGTGTAGGTGTGTGTGTGGTACAGTGCGAAGATGCAGCGGACAGACGGGTCTCAATTGGTTTGGTGTCCTATGCTTACTTTTAATACTTGTAAATACAACTTTTGGCCCGTAATTTCAATTCCCCATTTCAGCGACCAGAGAGAGGGGGGCATATATCCAGTCTCTGATTGTGTTACGTTATTATGAGTGCTCTCATACTTGTTTGATTCTGAAATTGTATATATTTATATAAATATATGTAGAATAGAATATAATCGTTTAATGTCATTATACATGTACAATGAGCTAATAATAACTTCTCCCTTTCAAGGGTGCCATCAAAACAAAAAAACCATCACAACATAAGACAACAAATACACACAGCATACATACTTAGGAATAAGGAATAAAGTGCAGTAATTATTTCCCGGAGTATACAAATAAAATCTGTAATGTAATACATAATAATAATAGTATGTATTTATAATAATAATGTACAGAGTCACATTTATGATGATTAAGAGGTATGATTTCAGGTGTTAAGAACAATGGTGGCTCTTGGGAAAAAACTGTCTTTGAGTCTGTTTGTTTTGGATTGTATACACCTGTCGAGGCTGCATGAGGGCAGCAGGTAGAACAGGTGAAAGCTGTGTGTTATATGTCCGCATCTGCAGCCTGTTATTGTCTCATTATACCGCACTGTCAATTAATTAGAAGTAAATATATAAGTCGTCATGAACACATCTGTCCATCAGTGCTGCTGTGCCTCCTGTCATATTTAATGGACGTCTCTTTAAAATGACCGCTCAGAGGAGAGGAGTTCTAATTTCTCTAACCGCCTGCTGCTTCCCCTCCTCTCTCCTCGGTTCCCCTCCTCAGTCCTCCGCTCGCATCTCCTGTGGGCGGGACTAAGTCTCAAGGATAGGAGTCGAGGAGGGGAAATTAGATTATTGAGAAGCCTCTCTGGAGACCAACCATTTCGCCTCCTGCCTTCTAATGCTAGGATGGGTGAGATGCAGAGTCTTAATTGTACTTTTTGCAGTGCTTTTTATGTGTCGTAAATTAAAATTAGATTTGATTCAAATCCTCCATAATTACATAACACCTCTATACATATATGTATAGGATTAAAGTTCAACAACCAGAACTGCAGCTTAGTGTTGGCATTTAGGAGGAAATTCAAATAAAATGAAGAAATAATTGCCATGATAATTTTTCTAAGACACGCTTTTATTTCATCTGTAAAAGCAAGGGGGGAAATGTTTGTTTTAGTAATACACTATTTGGCTACATGAGGCTGAATTCCCATAAAAGCAAATACTGTATAAACTTTCCGGCCTTTTCTTTTTTTCAAATATTTTTAGGATTCTGGAAAGTTCACATGCATAGCATCCAATGCGGCGGGGGAAGCCACTGCTCCTGTTGAGTTAGTGGTCAACCCCTCACCACACTTTGACCCTAAATTGGACCCTGACCCGGGGCCTTCAGACATCCCCACATCTATCAAGTCTAACGCAAGCGGGGGTCAGGCGCGTTCCGACCTGCAGAGGGTCAGTGTGTCTGATCTTACGTCCAGTTCTGCCACCATCAGATGGCCACCACAGAACCACATACCCGGAGTCCGCATGTACCAGATCCAGTACAACAGCTCTACTGATGATATCCTGATATATAGGTGAGTGTGGCTGCTTTGGGTTGGATCGATAATGTGTCTGATTTAACTTTTGTCCTGTGACAGGACATAACTGAAAGCAAAAGCTTTCTCCTGCATCTTCAAATCAATTGTTTGGAGACAGTAAGA